TCCTTTCCTCAGGCAGCAGCAGAGCCAAGCCTATGTCTGCCATCAGCCCGCACCAAATTTGTGGCATTCATGTGGACGGCAAAGTAAGAATTTCATTGTACAGGGAAACACGTTTCCTAACTGTGCTTATGACAAACACTATGAACTTGTGCTAGCATCATATAGCTCCCTATCTAACTTTGTTAACAATGTAATACTGCTGCTGAGGAGGTGAACAGGGTACATGATGGATATTAAATATTTATCAGCATATATTCCATTGTGACTGTGATTTTGGCTTCACTAATTTACTGTGATGCAGTGTTTTTCATATTTATTGTCTCACCTTCAGACTGCTCCATAACGTTTGCTTCTCTACATCGTCTCCTTAGCTGTCTCCAGTCGTCCTGGATGCTAGCGTAGTGATTTGTGTTCGCCTCTTCAGCCGCTAACTGGTGGATTTGCTGTGAATGCCTGTAAGATCTGTGGAAAACATCAAGGTTTTAGAAATGAACTGGCCTGGGATCACAGTGGAAAACATCAAAGTTTTAGAAATGAACCGGTCTGAACCCACAGATTACGACACTGAACTATCAGTAAATGAAGCACTCTGCAACCCCAGAGGACAACACTGTTTCTATCCCACCGATTTCTCAGAAGGCAAACTCTTCTGTGTCTGCATCAATCTCTACAACATCAGATCCAAAAGACAAGAGCACTCCCAGTACTGTGGAGCAGATGAATGCTAACCCTAACCGCACAGAACAAGACAAGCATACAAGTAGGAGTATGCTGATTAGGATAACTGGTAACTCCAAATTGCCCGTACCACTTACAGGATATAAAATAAATAATTGATGGATAGGGATGATGCTAAAGAACCTTTAAAAGGCTCTACACAACCGTGTTATACCCTCACAGGTGACTGCACTTATTTTGGCTCATTAGACCCTTTTTAAAGACTGAGCTTGACTGACATCTCCATGACTCTCCTACTAGCTCTGCTGCAGCTGTTGGGGTGAGACAGATAACACTTTTATCATCCTCATACTGTATAAGTCTGGTGACATCCAGTGAGGACACTCCACTTTAAGCTGTAGCATCCCTGTGCACACATTTCAGGTGGTTTAAGTAAACCATTAATAAAGCCAAACCCATAACTGTTGGGACTTGTTATCAAGCAAGGAAAATCTCTCAAGGCCACTGAAAGACAGCACAGACCATGTGACAATTTCTAATCACAGTTTATTTCAAGGTTGGTTATCAGGTTAGCATTTTAATATAGTTTAAATGTTTTAATCTTAAATGTCACACAAGTAGATGTACATTTTCAAACAGGAAGCTAGCATTCTTACAATTATTGAGAAAAAATGTAATTGCCTTTATTATTAAAGTCAGCTATTAAATTAATTCTAAAAGATGGGGACAGTCTTATGAACATAATGGGGAATCCCTAGAACTAGACATTCCTAAATTTCCCAGAGAATCAGGCCTCGCATTCTTCTGCTGCATTGGCCTTGTGCAGAGCAATGGGGTGTATTATAGCATGCATCCCAATAAATCTGGAAGCCGTCTTGGCTCTGCTGTTGTCCTTTCCTCAGGCAGCAGCAGAGCCAAGCCTATGTCTGCCATCAGCCTGCACCAAACAGCCAAAACACTGAGACACAGGAGGGAGAAACGAAAGAACAGAGAGGCACAAAGGTACAGAGAGATACTGGGAGACAGCTCATTACACAAGCACACAAATATTCCCTGTTTGCACCTAACTATATGAGGGATAACGTGAGGCAGATGGTCTGCAATACTAATTAGCTTGTCTTTCTTATCTCTACATCTATGTGTTGCAAAAGTGCAGCCTGCTTTGTTTACTGCAACCGGTGAGAAAAGACTGTAGCCCTTTTGACTTCCTTTAGAATATGATAGTAAATTAGAAGAGCAATGAATATTCTTGTAATCTCAGAAGGAGAAGTATATTTTGATTACTTAGCAACACCATTTCTGCTTTTTCAGCATTTTCACTTCTGGAACTCAAATTTTTGCACAATGTTGAACAGAACTCCCTGTCACAACATCTACATAATATGCAAAAGAAAACAGATGGAGTACCATGAGTGGCATGCTTTTATTTTTTTTATTTGGTGTTGTAGCTTGACTTTTCATTTGTCTGCCCACAAGGACAAATGTTCGCATCATAACTGAGGGCAAATCAAATGGAAGACTCACAAAAGCACAGCTGAAACACAACCATCCACCATGCATAAGCCCTCCTGACAACAAGATGTACTGTTGTACAGTAAAGGAGGGACATAAACAAATCTCTATGTGCTCCTGAAAAACTAGAACTCACACAACATGGTTTCCATTTTAAAATTAAAAAAATATATATATTCTAGTTTCTATTTTACCATCATGACAGCTATGAAAATACTAATTTAGACAATGGGAAAGAAAACTGCAAGATACTGAACCACCCAGAACAAGACAAGCATACAAGTAGGAGCATTACAAAACAAAGGCAAACCATAAGATAATGTCATGATCTGCTGCTTTCTGGTCATTTTATTCACTTTAACCACCTTTTAAGGATAAAAAAAAACTGCATTGTAAATAGGTAATGGCTTTGAAACCTACTCTTTTCAGTGAGTTCCTAAGCAGAAGGCAATGACTGGCAACAGCTCAGGGCAGCCTCTCATCCAGTGAGAGGTCACTAAGGTTAACCCTGTCAAAACCAAGCTGCCAGCACTCATAAGCAACAGGCAGTTTGTGGTTGCATGAGTAAACAGAGCTGACGTCACAAAGCAATTTGATTGTGGAAGGACCAAAAATGCCTTTGCTGAGCTCACTCATCCCATGTGTCCTCAAGCTGCTGCTGAAGGTATTTTCACCAGCGGTGTTAATAAGAACGCAATAAACCAAACAGGAGATCCTGTGAATTCATGAAACATCAGTCCAGCTGCAGGAAAAATCTTTACTGCCAAATTTCCCAGGGCGCACGCACACACTCGCACATCACACTGCTCCCTGCGCTGTCCTCTACCCTACTGGCTGGTGAAGGGTTTAAATGTTACTGTTGGACAAAAGACTGGCAAGCCACATGTTGTACTGGTCATTTCAAACACTGACTGTGCCACATTTCCTCCACGGTGAAAGGGACAGCTCCAGTTCAATGCCCCCAGCATGATGGATTTCAGCTAGTCAGATGGAAATGTAATTCTTTTTCTCTACCCAAAGACATATCATGATGTATAGTCAAAATTAGAGGAAGGACTTTTGGACATCATGAAATTTATTTTCATGGCTGAGTGAGGCTTGATGTGTAATAGTGTGACTGAACAGCAGTGCACTAGAATGCAGTATTAATTCACATTCCTCAGTTCACTACCCTATGTACAGTGACTTCAGGAATAAACTGTGAAAAAAAAAGTCACATTCCCTGTTGTAGTGTTTTCTAGTGCGTAAGCTTGTAGGGCACTTCAATAAAAAAATCAATCAATTAATATCCAGAGAGTAGTAGCAAGCTCTGCTTGCTCTAATGTACTGAATTACATCACACATTTACAATGAAAATGATCGACACTGTGACTGTAAGAAAACACAAGGATCATTTTTGGAGCTAAAAGTACATAAATGTCAAACCGGTAAAACTGCTAAAAGACAGCACACAGACTATTATAGACACTCAACCAACCTGTGTAAAGATCACAGAATCCAACATTAAACCGGTTCTGATTGCTACACAGAATATATAGTCCAAGTGAAAAGTGCCTTGTCCCTAAAATGAATACTAGAACTACTGGTATGCCTCTCTCACCAAATATGTATGGCTCAGGTGTTGTTGCTGCTGCTGGGATCATGTGTTAAGAATGGATGTGCTCACTGTGAGGGGGGGGGACTCTGCTACTGTAGCAGTGCATCAGAAGAGGTGAGACTACAGTTTGCACACTGAAGAGGGGTGATGGAGATAGCACTTAAGATACAGACACACTTAACGCAGCAAAGAACATCTTGTTTTGTTCTGCTTGCAAGATTGGTCACACAATGAGCTTCGAAGCCTGAAACTCACTGAAGTGGTGTAAATAGTCGCATGAGGAAAAAGAAGGTGCTGCAGCCAAATCAGTGCAAAAGCAGAGACTAACTGTCTTTTCAAGTCAAGCTTCTCCTTCACCCACTCATGGCTGAAAGGCAGTTGTGTCGGCCAATCTTGCCCGAGCTGCCTCGCATGGCGCCAGAGACAGACAGACTTACAGTCAGCTACAGTATGTGTGTCATTAGTGCTGACCCAGATGCTCTGAAACACTGACTGTCCTGTGACTGCACTGCATTCCCAGAATAACTCCCTTCAGCTTATTACAGACAATAATAATGTTTAATAACCTCTGTCATGGTAATGCAACCACAATGAAATGGCCTATGCAGCACAAAAGGGAAGCGAAGTTGAAGTGAGAGACAAAGTCCAGGCTGAGATAGTTCATGATGAGTCCAGCTCACAGAGGAGAATCAGAGGTTCAAGGTCTGTGCAGTGCAATCTGATCAGTGAGACAAAACAGTTGACTGTCTTCCGATGGAAAAATTTGCAGGTGAAAGAGAGTTACATCACATACAAGCAAGCCCTGCGCAGTCCACCATCAGCACCATCTCTCACACAACATACTGTATGTTGTCAGTGCGGTCAGTCAGGGAATTCATCCTAAGTAACAGTCGTTTGGACATGCATAAATAGCCTTCTACGTGCCACAATATATGCAGGGATCTTGCATGTGATTCCTGTGGGGATGCACCACAGAAAGTGAAGTTTTTCCTTCCTTAAAATGACTTAACAGCTTCATCTATACAGCCTGAGAATCATACACCCAGCAGCAGTCAATGTAACGTTATGGATTACAAGACACTGCCTGTGTTAAACAAAACATCAATTTCCCCCCCACTGGGCTGTAACTCTCGCACACCGTAGATGTGACAGAGGTTAGTGCAACAAATCAACATGTGTTTTTTTGGATCAGATAGTTTGGCGGCATGCTTACCCTCTGCGGCCAAAGCGCTCCGGACAAGAAGTAAAAGCATTCCCACAGATAGCAGACAGTTTGAAAGCATCCCCGCTGTTCCGGCTCGCCACCTGGTCCTCGTACACCTCCTGTCTCCTCCAGCATCCGTCCTTTGCGTCGAGCACCCACCGGGGTCCGCTCCTCCGGCTCCCAGCACTTTGGGGTGACCTGTCCGCCCACTCCTCAAACCAGGAGCCATATCCAGTGGATAAGTTGCTGAAGTTTCGGTCGTAAATAATACATTGGATCAGTCCTCGCGGGTGAACGGGAAACACAGCGGTCCCGTGGTCTCGTCGTGTGTCCAGGGCTGGAGGGGCGAAGCGGCGCTGAAGGGGAATTAAGAAATGCGCCCTAACGGTTCGCTCGGTCCACCCATCAGCACCGTGTGGCGCAGGGCGGCGCACACACTTTGCCAGAGGTTTGACATTTAGCTGTTGGCGGTAATCTCCCTTATTCACACCTGCTCCAGATAGATACGTGACGTCACCAACTGAGCGTTATTGCTGCTAGTGGATGGATATTTAAAGTCCTCCACCCCCTGGTCCAACCGAGCAAATTGGTCTCTGCTGTTAATTGTCAGGATAAAGTCAGCGCTGAGCAGTCCACAGGACGACCTCTGCTGGGCACAGCCTACAAAACCACACGGGTCTCCATTTGAGGCAGGTAAATTTAGATACTAGCCTTGCTCAATCACATTATGAATTAGTATTCATAGTGGAACCGTTTGTCTTCACCTCTGCTAACAGATAGGCTGTTTTATCTACACTGAGCTGTAATAAATGCTACCTCAGTGTCTGTGTGGATGCCGCTGTGGCTGTACCTCCTCAGCTCCACATGATGTCAGTAGAGACAGAAAATCACTAGAATACAGCATGAAATCAGCAGAGAGAGAGAAGGAGAGAGGTCAATATTGTTTCCCATCTGAGCAAAATCTGAGATCCCACCTATCAGAATAATATTTTGTAATATTATTTAATAGTTAATAGTATACATATAGATATATCTCCATATTAATTAGATTATCAGCATGCCATAAAAACCTGAAAGAAAGAAATTAAGTGAAGTATTTATCACCCATCATCAACCATCTGCTAAAAAGGTTTATATTGTTACCATCCGTTTAGCCAAGTGCCCTGAAACGGAATTCTGGGCCATATATTGTTTGTATGAATGACTACATCGAATGCAGGAAAATGTCCAGTCCTTAACCAAGAACCTACTGAATTGCACAGCACTCCCAGTGGCCTGTTGAGTTGCCTGCAGACCCCTGGTGACCCCTGGGCTGACCTTTGAAGGAGTTTCCTCAGTGATGTGGTCCCTTATCTTGGCTCCTCCTCTATGAATGGCCCTACCAGTGGTCTCTGCTCCTTTTGCTTTTTCACTCAACTGTGTAGCTCCTACAAACAGAAATACTTTGGTTAATACATATACATTGGGAGTACTGCTGATTGTTGTGTTGTAAAAATATCTGTAGAAGAACTGAATTCTGTTCAGGAGAGACTGCACCATCAGTAAACAGCACCCTCCTGTGGTCATGTTTATAGAGGAACATCTACCGTACTGTATATACAGTCCGTGTACAACATTGTATAGTGACTTTTATCTTTTATTAGGACTCATGCCTATGAACACACCTAACAAGATTCCTTGTCCCATCTTCACACTCCATCCAGGAAGTGGTGGCTTTTCCTTCTCCTCAGGCAGCACTCGGTTCTATTTGTTCATATGGGGAACCAAGGAGGACTTTTGTACTGAGATTGATGACTTCATCCTCTGCTCCTTCTGGACCTTGTCAGTTAGAATGAAAAGAACACAAGACACACAGTAATAGTATAGACTCGTGTAAGCCATTAGGTTAGGGTAAGGCTAAAGGTTGTTGATAGGCATTTAGTTGTGATGGTAAAGGTTATGGCCAAAGGAATTTACATATATATATATATACACCAATATCAGCCATAACATTCTGACTGTCTATTTCACAATGAAAATAAGTTGAGCGTGTGCAAAAGGGTGACACTTCATTTCTGTAAGGGCTACGCATACTGCCAGTGTTGCGTGATGTCATGTGACACGTGTCACACGCTGCAAGTGTGTGTGTGTTTAGCCTGACCTGTGCGGGGCTGCTGCTATTTGATAAGTCTCTTTGCAAAGATAAGTGAGGACAACAAATGTAGAAAAGGTGACAATAGAAACAGGCCATTCAGTGAAAAATGGACAGAGGACATTGCCTTTATTTTGCCACCTCATGCAAATAAAGAAAAAAAAAAAAAAAAAAAAAAAAAAATCGGCCTTGAAAACTAAATTGTTCTGTACTGAACTGTAGTGTAACACTGTTCCCATAACATGCACATTTCTAATGAAGACCTATGACTGATATTTAGTGGTCACACCCTCATTTCCCATTCAGCAAATTCAAAAGAAAGCATTTCCTTCCCTTTTGTTCCTTCACTGTCCATTTATCCAATCCCTTCCTCTTTTCCTAAACCCAGTCAGCCCTTCCTTTTAGTCCTTCATTCTTCACATCCTCCCCCACATTAACAACAGTCTTTACTTGAAGCTGAAAAATTTGATGTTTAACCTCAAAAGAAGTTGTTTTTCAAAATTACAAGAATCCAACCTCGCTCTTCTTGGGCTGAAGACGAGACCTGCACAGCTAAACAGCGTTTCACACGCTGCTGAGGCAGGCAGAGGTGTGTTCAGCTTCACAGTGTTGTGGAAAAACTATCTTTTAAAGCTCAGTGAGTGTAAAATAAATACATAACATCAGTTCTGAAAGCTATTACATATTATTTATTCCTGCAGGAAGGAGGTTTCTCTGAACAGAGTGTCTAATACAGTCTGTTACAGGGAAGCTCAATGAACAGAATGTGACAGCCCTTCTTATACTCAGCCTACAACAAAGAAGACACATGCTCAAACAGATAAGGGAAACGGGATACAATTCACAACAGGATACCAGCCCTTTGGTCCCAGGTCACATCTAGTTTGGCAACCAAAAGGCATACAAATGTTTATAAATGGTCTGGGGTTCACAACCACACAAATGACTGCATACAATGACGTGAAAGCATCAGCTAAAGAACTTAAGGGGTGCTACTATAAAAATTGCCACCACAACAGACAACTTGCAGACAGCTGGGAAGGATTTCAGCAAGTCCATGTGATCTGCTACACAAAACAAGTATGCATCCAGTTGTTTGGAGCTATCTTGTGCAGGAGATGA